CCCGATCTGGGACGACTGAGTGGACATGCCTGATGTCTGATCGGACTGAGGGTCTCTGGGGAGGCACGATGTCCAAACCACTCCGCCTCAACATGGAGGGAACTTTTTTTTAAAGCACATTTGTATTTGTGGCAAGAGATCGATTTCTTTTCATCTGCTCATGGATGAGGTTCTCTTAAATGAACCAAGTGAAATGCACCGATTCCATTCCAAGTGTTGGGTGAGTAGCACATTCTTCAAGCGGGAGATACCTTCTCCATCGCCTCTCCACCTAGTATCTTCACAAATTCCTTCAAATCAGAAAACCATCTCGCATATTCAAGTTTGCGTGAGAGGAATTTGACATATTGTTATGCATGTATAAATGCATTATCCACGCAATCATTAGTGCAGAATTGCACATTTAAATGTTTATTTTTTATGGTAAGTATCAATTGACGTAATTTTTCCTACCAGGTTAGTGTTTCATGAGAGGAAATGTACGCATAGAAATCCACCTCCATAACTGATTTTTTTTTGCTGATGCAGGGTGTGCTCCAGACACTTTAATGGAGATGGGAGTTCCAATATGAAGAATTCCCGGACCGAAAAGAAGCTCCTTGTGGCCCGTCAACAACAACCCGAAGCTGAATGGCACCAGTGGAGTCAGCGGGGACATCTTCAAGTGCAGAGCTCTCAGCTCTAAAGGCTTGTTAGCACAGTCAGAAACAGACTGCTTTTGAGGATTTCCGATTTTTCCCCCATTGATTTGCTTATTGTCTCATTTTAGCTTGTTTCGTTAGTTTAGGCTAATTCGGTATCAAAAATTAATTATATTAAATTGACGTCTAAATATGTAATTGTACTAATTAAGTGATTCAAAGCAGAAGCCTTTTGACTGAAAGCGAAGAAGCTGATACCTAGCCTCAATATATACAAATAGTTTGAACTGATATCAATTTTTTTTAGTTGCCTTTGACCTAACTTAACGTGGCCTTGTCTACTCTAACCGTCTTTAGCTAACGTGGTTTTATTTACACCTGACCCTTACTAACCCACCCTAACCTCGTCTAACTCCATTAAAAGTCACGACAGGGTCACGTTGGTTCAATTAGAACTGAGATTGAAGCATCAACTTCCACTCGGGTAACATAACATTCAATGGTGCCTTTTGTTGCATGCACCATTCTAAGTTTAAAGGCAACAACATTCAAACATGTTCAAACGTTTTCAATTTCATTTATATACGTATATGTTGAGGAGGTATTGCTGAAGATAGTGTGTTCTTCTGTTTTCTATTAAGTCTTCCATGGAGTTAAATTGTTTGATGCATGGCAGCAACTATAATTGAACCTTTATATGAGCAGTCGTTCAAATTCGTTCAAGAGCTACTGGAATTTGATTTTGATTGATCTTCGAATGAAGTACTAATTTAATTGGGAAATTATAATCTGATTCCCTGTTGAATTTTTTTTTTGGGACATTGGATTTTCTCTAGATTGAGTTTTGAGGGACGGGACTTTGGTTTCACGGGTAGTCCTGAGGTTAGTCCTACAGTCGAAAAGTAGTTCAGTTTCCCCCATTTGCCGCTGGTTCCAATTGGACGACTTTATGTTCCCCGCTGCTTCCCATACAAGAGCCTGAGCTTCCCCAGTCAAGGTTGTCATTTACAGAATGTGGGTGACATGAGTTGACGTGGCAAAATGCCACAAGGTCTTAGCCAAAGTTTGCTCCCTGGTTCACGGAGAGCTTCCCTGAGAGGGGGAGAGGGAAGCGCCTTTCCTGCAGCTTCAAGGTGAGTGAAAGTGGTACTTAATTGGCGCTCAAGTTCATTACTACTACTTTTATATTCTATTATTTATATGTTAATTTTTCTTTCAATTCTTACATTCTCGTTGTTTTGCCACTGCTGCCCGGTCGATTTAGGCACGTGTCACTTGCGCCGGAATAGCAGACACAGATACCATTGTCCGGGTGGCAGGACCGAGATGGCCTCTGCATTGGCTTCGGGTCCACTTGCTCCAACTACTCCATTGCCAGCGGCTCCACGGTCCGCTCCCCTAGTCCGTAGCCCAGCTCCACGGGCTCGTCACCTGATGAGGGACAACATGGTGAACATCGCCTCAATGGATAGGGCCGAGGCTCCTTCGGATGGAATGTGATGGCCAGCGAATCTGAGGGTGACACCAGTGCTGAATTAACCAGAAAGGACTTTTCCACCATTTCCACCCATTCTTTGCGGATGAGGCTCATCGATGAGGTTATCGTAAATGAAGCAAGTAAAATACACCAATTCTATTCCAGGTGTTGAGTGAGAGAGGCCTTTTTTCAGGAGCCCCCTTCTCCATCGCCTCCCCTCTCGGCAACTCCAAGTTTACCGGAACAAAAGGACCGACCATGCGTCATCTCAAAGGCAACAAGTAATGGATAATTGTTTCATTTTAATCCTTACAAATGGAAACAAAACTTTAGGTTCTTTTGTATTGTTTAGTTTGTGCTCGCACTGTCACTTTGAGTACATTTGCAATATACTACATTGCTTCTAAAGTACTTTTTTTCCAGTACCAAATGGCAATAGTTTCTTGCTGCCATTTGTAGTAATGAATGTTACGTTTTCTGTTACAATCTTTTTTATTATGGTTCCAAGGAATCTTACAGGGTGAGTCAAAGGCGACTTTTCGAAGCAGAAAAGGAGGCAATGAATTTGCAAAGAGCGTTCGCTAATTCACCCAAATGAAACATTAAAAATTGGATGATCTTGACCTAGAAGTGACAATAATGAATTGCCGTGACATTGGGCATCATTAAGCCTGATCACTCGGCGAAAGCGAGTCGTCCTCGAGTGGCAGATAGTTACACACGTGTCGAAGTCGATTCCAGCAATATTCTCATTGAAGCGTTGCTTCAGGTCGTAGATCGTGCGCGGATTCTCGGCAAATGCCTAGTTTTCAATAAAAACCCACATGTCGAGTGGAGTCTGATCCGGCGACCTGGGTGCCTAATGTATAGGCTTGCGCCGAATCTATCCACCTGTCTGAGATTAAACAACGCTTCAATTCAGAAAGGAGCTAATGTATTAATTAGCAGAGAGCTAATGTACGACGGCGACGTTCTCCTCCCAAGAAAGTGCATCGGGCATTATCAAGCACACATTTGGAGCAGCAAAAATGTTGCTTTTCGTTCCGTGTATACTCAGCAGTCAAAGTTATTCCATAGAAATTTCTGTGTGTAGTAAATTAACAGACTTTCATGTGCCAAAAATCGTTTTCAAATGAATGCATTCCTGCAGAGTTCTAGCTGTTCAAAGTCGTTGAGTGACTTTTAACTTACCCTGTACATCAACCCTCATAGGTCAACTAAGAGCTCTTTTCTACCCCCTTTATTTCAAATTGGTAAATTTTCTGTTCCGGTGGAATGAGGTCCATACCTTTTTTTTTAGTACTAATTTGCATATAGTTTTCAGCGTATGAGGTTATGAAGCTTTTCAATGTTTGCGCGGACAGAAATGCTGCAAAATTAATCTTCCATTGCCCAACTTGGAACTTTGAATACTGAATTATTTCATGGTAACTTCATTTTTAAGAGATACATTTTCACACATTTGTCCAGTAATCATCAACTGGTTTTCATCAGTATTACTTATGCAAATACTTGTTTTTGAAGCAGGCGGATTACGTCAAACGAGAGACGATTCCAGAAGCTTGGGGGGAGACGGCCTTGGCGGTCAGCATTTCCGCTTGCAGACGCAGCCTGGCACCACCTCGCCAGATCGCAGACCTTCCACTGTTGTCACGATAATCGGCACAGAGCCGAGTCGAGGGTTTTTGGGAATAAATATTATTCTGTAATCTCGTAGGCTTTCCATGGATCTTCTGCATTTTTAAATAGGTTATGCCGATTTTAATTTTCAGTAAATTGGTGGAAATTTTTTTTTTTCCTGGAGTAACATCTCGAATAGGGTGAATCAGATGTACTCCGTAGATATTTTATGAATATTTTTAGGTGCAGAAAATCTGCAATGCATATTCTCGTGGCTCCTATATACGAACGATTCAAAGAGTTCAACATCATCCGGAAATGTTTATAGTCGGAACGACGAAGTTAAGGAACTCAAAATCCTTTCCAAAAAGCTCTTGACAGCCTTGGCTTGTTTGTGTTCCCCCAACAGGATCTTTCCTCGTTCTCCTTTGCCCTTGACGCTGTCACAAGCGTGAAAATCGCGCGAGAATTCCTTCCCTTTTCCTCCGCGCGAGCGACTACTTTTCCCCGAACGTTTCCTTGTACCCTGATGAGTGCCAGTCACGATTCCTCTCGCGAGCAGAAACGGGAAAGCCTCCTTCAGTTGAGACCCTGGTGTTGGAGCGGGAAGGATGAAGCACGTCGACGCAGGCCTCCTCGCTTTTGCCCTCCTCCTGTTTCTTCATGAAAGCCTTCAGCAGACTTGTCCTGCTGCTCCTTCTCATCTCTCACGTTAGTTCGTCCTATAGGAAATAAGACCTGATCTTAAAAAACGCATGTTCTACTTGGGAATGGTAATTTCGTACATATTCAATGTCATTTCAGGTTTGCAATTCATTTTTGAATATGCATTTCGTTTTTGTCTCATTTCCCCTCCTTTTAGCGAGAAGTAAGTTGAAGATTAGTTTGACGTTGACCTCCTGTGCGTGACTCAAAATAAGTTACCAAGTGATGAAGCGATTTAAGGACATAGGAGGTGTGCTGAAAGAGAAGAGCTTGGATGGCATCTGCAATTCTCTACTGACACGGCGCACAGACCATATTGAGCTGCTCTCGAAGGCTTCCCGTACACGTTCAATATCGGGATATGATGTTGAACGTGTTTCACCTTCGACAAACTGAAAAATGATATATTGAAGTTTAAAGTCGTGTGAATCTCCTATGGACAACCAATATTATCTTGAGTCTGCATAGTTGCCACGATTCCGCATATGATTATTTAACAGATAGATCAGTAAAAATCTTCCACGTAAATTAAGCCTTGCTGACTGAAATTGCCAAGCATGGACATGCACAGTGGCAAGCACGCCATGCGGACTGTCGAACCTGGCCCGAGACGGAGAGACAGACGTAGAGGCGAGGCAGCTGAGCGCAGCGAGTCCGAACTGGCTCGTTCGCGCGTGGAATGGGTTCCTGAGCGTGCTGGCGGGAGGACTGAGACAAGGGGACCCGCTCATCATCAACGGGGCTCCGGCCTCTATTCCGAGGCCCCGTTCATGGCGAATCTCATCGTCGACTTCTCCTCGGGGATGAGTAGCGGGTGCAGCGCCTCCATCATCGGGGATCAGTGGATCCTCACCGCCGCTCACTGCATCACTCAAGCGGGGAACACGGGGACGTGAGTGCATGACGTATCTGTTGCTCGTTCGCTCCTGATGCGCGAAAAAAATGCAAGAGACAGGGCAGAAAATCTTCGCGGAAGAAAAAGAGATCGTGAGACGTTCGTTATGAAAATTTACATATTTTTCTGTCTGGGAACAGAAAATAAATAGATCGTCAGCTCTCGTCTTTTATGCCCCACGATCGGTATTTGGTAAACTATATAAATTATAATAACTGTATATATTTAGAAATCATATCAGTGACGGAATGTCGAGGGGTTAGAGGCACCATTGAGGTAAAGTTCCTTGAACTAGCACGACGTTATGGTCCTAGGTCGAAAATGCGTAATTTGAGCTATCAGAGACTGTACAGCGATTCGGTCGCATTTCGGGATCGTTGAACCCCGAATCTCTCATTTCTCCTCGAAGCGTCCTGGCAAGCAAGGTGACGGTCCGCGTGGGGAATGCGGATCGGACGGTCGGAAGCGGCATCTCGTCCACTTCCTTCAAGTATCACTCCAAATTCGACGGATGTGAGTTCGGCGTTTCTTCAACTATTCCATCGGGGGAATGTAACGCGAGAAAGGGGAATGGCTGGGCGTCGCTTTTTTCCGTGAGGAGCCGGCAACCGTGAGTCTGCAGTGTCACTGTGTTCATAGAGCTCGCGAGAACATTTCCTTCGATGTAAAAAAAAAAAGTATTACAGGGTGTTGCAGGATCGACCGAACGCAACGTTTTCCCCTCGCCATAAGAACCTTCAGTTTCGCACACGAAGTGTGCATAATCGAAGCCTGCCAGCCACCTATTCCGCCACTCATAGCCAAAGGCTACCAGCGCTTCTCAGAGCAACTCTCAGGTCACATGGTGAACCGTCCACCAACGAAGCGAGAATTCCAGGCAGTCTCCTTCAGTTGAGTATGCGCGCTGGACGAATGCGTTAAAAATCTCCATTTCTTTCCCTATGTTTTACGTTTGAAAACATTGAGTGCAATGTGAAACCGAATGGATACTTACAATATCTCCAGGGAAATCGATATTGATACATAGAAACATATGCGCGATCTCTCTTGTAATGTGGGAACCTTAGTTTTCTTAAAGGAACGGCCAGATGGCAGGAAGGTCGCTTGGCTTCACTCTTTGCCCCAGTGGACGCAGAAAGCAAATCCGCCCAGAAACCGATCACGTGATCGCAATAAACCAAGTCCCCTCCCCCTCCCCTTCCCCCTCCCCCCCCTCCACCTTCCCCTCCCCTTCCCCCTCCCACAGTCGGATGTCCAACGTACGAATAAGCTAGTGCGTGGACGTACGTCGGATGTACCATCGGTACTCGAGACTATAGTTCAGGAAGCGTGCATTGTTGATAGCGGTGGCGATTTTGCTTGTCATCGATGCGGTTAATGGTTAGGTATTGACATTTAAAAAACAGCTTCGCCTTGTTTTTTTGCTTTATAAACTTTTCCCGTTCAATTATTTTTGTCTAATACGTACCCGAAAACATATTTTTTTGCAGAAGTGGTATTGTTCCCTCTCGTCGTATCTCTCTAACAATAAGGGTGGTGTGGCCTCTTGGGACAAATATTAAAAGGATCCAAAGGGTCTTTCCTCATGCATTTATTTGCAATGGTATTGAACAACGGAATCCCGAATAACTATTTTATGAATGCTGGTGAAGTCTCTTTCGACCTCGATGGACAGTTAAATCCAGATTTTACCCTTTAGAGCCTCATTCCCCCGAAGCAATAACTCTTCGTAAGAAGCCGAAGGACCTTTAATCGATAAGGACACTTTCACCGGGCCGCAGCAGGGCCTAACCGGACCCGACCGGATTCTCGTCCCCGCAGCGAACCTGCAGAAGGGGTACGACATCAGCCTCATCCACCTGCCGACGAGCCTCGCGTTCGGTACCACCGTCCAGCCCATCGGCTACCCTACGTCGGACGACCTGGGGACGGCCGCGGCCGCATGCGACAAGAAGGCCTACGGGTGGGGTTACCTCTCCATCAAGGACCTCTTGAAGAGGAGAACCTCTCGAACGCTACAGAAACTGGACGTCACCGTGTCCGATCGAGCTGCCAGGGATTGCAGTGCCGTGGATGGCATTCACGTGTGCGTCTGGGGAACTCCCTCGTCTAGCGGGCCATGCAATGTACGTTTCTCATATTGCCACAATGGCTCAATATTGCCGGACTAAGTCAATATTTCCACATGTTGCCAAATTTGCCAGAATTGGCCAAATATTGCCCCATAACGCCAGAATTGACCCACATTGTCCCATATTGCCTCATATTTCCTGTTTTTTGAAAAATGCCTTTCTGTGACCTAATCGATGAGTTCTAAATTACTTACATTCATTTAGTTAAAAATCTGTGTCGACCTTAGTTTCGAGGAGCTCTTAGCAAGTGCTTTTTGGTTGTAACCGATATTTCTGATTGAAGGAAATGGGTAATTTTGGTACAAAAATCAGAGACAGGCTCCAATGCCAGGAAGCCGAGCCAAGTAACGGACGGACGCTGAGCTGATTCATTGCCTATGCGGTCTGCGTCGGGAGGAATCCGAGGAGGTTCGACCGCTATCACACCCCCGCGAACGCGAAGTCTGAACGAGAGAGGGGGATTCCCAAGGGGGATGCGCGGGGGCAGGGGATGGCTACGCTGTCGTCATATTAGCCAGACGGTGAATTGTACCGAATTCAACCGAGTGCATTTCCGTCTGGTTCGTATATGTTCGGAAAATGTTCAGGTCGATGAGACCGTTTATTAATGTCGACTCAGTGAGTCATGAAAATTCCATTCGTGAACAGTTTGCTGAATTTTCTAAGCACTCTCTTGAAGTTCTTGGGGGAAATATTTTTCTTTTTCTGTGAACTTTAAATGTAAGGTGCGTTTCTGTCCTTCATGGTTTGACCGAGAGCCTCTGGGAAAAAATTTTAAATTTTGATCCGAGAAAAGGAATTCGTGGTCACACACGCAATTCGCTTTAATCTGTTCCAATGTGGCTGGATTTCATTATAACTGTGATCTCTTGTACCAAAGGCTACTTCGCAATGGGTATCAAGAGAATTTTCTACAGAAACTTTTTAACCTGTTTGCTCAGCAATGCAAGCATGATCTAATTAAATTTGCTCCCGAAGGGGGCGATTTTTCTGCAATTTGGCTGTGAGCTATTTCCTTCAGGCTCCAGAAACTTTGTATACAGCTCGGATGTGCGGGTCTTGCAGCACGGACGTGACTGCAACACAGACCCGGTGCATTAGAACAGGTTCCAGTGATTGGGCTTTTTCCCATACCGTTTTTATATTTTATCCTAGACACCACTTATCCAGTTAGTCGGGGTTGGTTCGGGTGTTATTGGCCTAATGTGCCTGGAGGTCAGGGCTTGAAGGTAGCAGGAGCAATCTGGGCATCGTTCCAATCTGTCAGTGCAGCACACAGTTAGCTTAATGCATGGTAGGGCCTTTCCCAGGCCCTACCATGCATTAATAATTCGGACTCTCATCTCTAAGTCCCGCGCTTCTGGGTCCAAAGGTTGGGCATTTTCTGTTGCCCTTGGGTAGTCTCGAGCAATTTCGGCACCAAATAACTTCTCTTACTCTATATATATATATGCATAACTAGGTTTGTCTGAGAATGATAGTTGACTCAAGAAAATAAAAATGCAAAGGATCAATAACCGTGACATGCACTTCAGACATCTGTCACTCGGTCTTAACCTGACCATGTATGGTCTGGAATGCCATCAGTCACGATGAGAAAGGCAATCTATAACATCAGCAAAAAAAATTTTGGAAGCAATCCTGTGAACGTCGTTCCAGTTTCAGACGTCCTTTCTCCAGTTGAAGATCGGAATGACGGCGAAGGAAGTGCTCGGAGCGATCGCGTCTGCAATAGCTTTCTCCTTGGTGGTTTTATTTTTGCATCGTCGATTCCAGCCCGAAAAGGGAACGACTGTCGACTGCGATGAGCCTTTCGCGAGCAACTTATCGAAAGAGGGAGCGACGAAGGAGATGAAAATCGTGACCGCGATCTGCGGAAGCAGACACCAGGACCTTCTGCTCACGTGGATCCGGTCCCTCATCGTCACGTCGAATGAGCCGTTCCACATCATCGCGATCGCGGATGTGGAGGGGAAATGCAGCGCGGCGTCGAAGGTGAGGCGGATGCTGCCCGAGAGGGTCTCCATCGAATTCCGTCGGGTGAGTTACCCGATGGAGCCGGCCTTGGATTGGAAGCGGATGTTCAAGCCGTGTTCGACAGCGAGACTGTTCACGCCCTCCATCTTGCACGACGTGGATGCCGTGGTGTACACGGACTTGGATTTTCTTTTCCTCGCGCCCATCGAAGAGTTGTGGAGTCACTTCCGGAGCATGGACGGACGGATGTACATCGGGGCGGCGCAAGACAACGAGAAGGGCAGTTGCCTCGCGTATTACTCCATGACTCCCCTGCCGGCTCGGGGGCCGATGGGATTGAATGCGGGCCTCCTGCTTCTCAATCTCACTCGCATGAGACGG